GTTATCTAATATTATAGTATTATGAAGTTAGGCTAAATAAAAATACTAATAATCTATATCAAAGTTAACATTAGTATACCAAATACATCAACATTACAGATAAAACACTGTTGATATTTTTTCACTGTTTTTTTTTATATAAATTATGCTAACTTTGCTAAATCCTTCATATATCAGAAGTGCTTAATTAGAAATCTCTGTTTTCTGTGGAATTCTTCAGATCTTCATACCATTAAAAGCCAATTGAAATTTTGGCATTGGCCAAGAGTTTCAATTTGAATTCAGAAGTTATCGAAATCATATGAACAGTTTGCAGGATATGAAATTTAATGAATGTAAAATTCACATCAACAGAAAACTTTTTAAGTATTTGCCTCGACTTCAGTACATTACAGATGTAGATATTAAAAAGAAAAGGCAACACATTCGAGAGGCCATCAAGATTATTATCATGTTTATTGTCCGAGTTCTTTTTTTCTATTATCTTTAATACTTTAACAAATTGTTCATGTGCATAATTAGCAAATATAGATGCAATGCATAATCATGCAAAGATATCCTCAGATTGTAATTATTATTGATCAAAATATGGCATTCTAAAACAACAACAATAGATGAGAATAAAACTCAGAGAAGAAATATCCAATTACAATGGAAAAATTTTGATTCTAATATTATTCAGAAACAATCATTATTCTAGCTTATTCTTTAAGGCTGGTGTCTAATAAAATAACAATTGTTTCCAATTAATAATTTAGTTTACAAATTAAAAGCACAAGAGAAAAAGTAAAAATTGAAGAAAAACAGCAAGAAAAGTAAAAGAGAAATAAAAAGTGGAAATTTAAATATAATTTTTGTCTGAATTTTTGAAAGGAGGAATTATCATTATTATACACTGATTTACTGAGAATAGTTGTTATAAGCATGTCATGTACTCTCTGACCTTCTTCAGCTATCTGTGGCAGTTGGTAAACTTCTGTAAATTCAAAACCTAACCCTTTAGACTCTAATATAGATGTCATGTATGGTATCCAATTTATTCAGAGATGTTTAAACTATCAACTATATGCAACTACTTTCCCAGACCAATGCTTAAAAATGGCTTCAAGGGAATAAATTCTCTAGGTCTTAAATAAAATCCTTCATCAGACCTTATAGACTGACACTACAGAATCACAAAGAGTTTTATCAAATATCAAAAACCACATCATTTGAATGCTTTCAACAGAGACAACAACAAAAATGGATAGCATGTGAAATTAGAAGTGAAAATAATAATATAATCAACATGTTGACACTTCACACTATCCTAAACAAAAAAGTTAAGGAGGAAACTCGGTAATACTAGAATGAACAATAACAGTTAGTGGAATTGAGAAGCCTATTTTTACTGAAAAAGGGTTTATAAACTTTAACCAATAGTAATGCTCACTATTCAGTCTATGTTGAATATTTCCTGTATGGAAATGGATAATACCTCCCACATGATGGTAACATTAGTGGCAATGGTGTCTTCATTTAGCTAATGTCTTACCATTATATGGGAGGTATTTCTGTCGTACCCTGTATAATCCATAGGATAGATTACTCTCATTCTATTGTCCATGCCAGAGGAATATGTTGAATCTGTTAATTATTCCTAATTAATTCATAAGATGCATTGAATAATTTTCTGTTATTTGGTTTAAGCCTCCGAATTTCCTCTAGCAAATTGTCTTACAGGACATATGGCCTAGTGGATAAAAGAATTTGTTAATTGGATATAGTTATCTGGTGGTCATGAGTTCAATACTTAGGTTGGATAGTGTGAAAATGTCATAAACCCTAAGTGGAAGAGACAAGCAAGGAATAATTTGAGATATATCCGTAGCATAAACAAAATGAGAACAATTGACTCCTAGAATATGAATGAATAAAGGGGTTGTTTGAAATTATCTGATGGTTGCCATCTATGATAGATGTTTAAAGAAAGCCAAAGTAATGAAGGGATACAGAAGGCGATTATCTCTCTTTAGTGGAGACAAGTCACATAGGTTACATAATGGACCGCTTAGTGACATCACTCCATACAGTGATGACAGCGGCAATCAATTTCAGTTTGATTGACAGCAGTTAAGGCAAAAGGTTGTTTTTGTTAGCCTGCCCCTAACCCTGTCCTAGGTAGAGGCTAAATGTGCCTCCTCAGCAAGTCCATGTTGCCATTTCCCTTTGAGAATATATCTTTGCTGTATAGATATATGTGATATATTATTCTCAATGTGGGACATGTATATATAGTTTTGTGTATGTCTTAGTAGTATAAAAGTCTCTCTGAGAACAAAGCATGTTTGTCATTCTTTTTCCTTTCAGACAATCTGTTCTGTCTGTGAATTACGGTGTTATGATGGATATAATAATGCACATAATGGGGGGGGGATACAAATGAGACAATAGATCTTTCTTCCCTAGCTCTCTCCTGTTATAGGTACAATAGTCAAAATGTTATGATTATAACAAGCACAATGAGGATACTAGAATACAGGTTGGCTAAGAAATGCAAAAAAAAAAAAAAAAAAAAAAAAAAATGACTTACTATTCCAAAAGCTAAAAGTAAATTTAAAAAAAAAAATAAAATAAAATTTTCAAGAATTTCAATTATTGTTTTAAATCATACAATTTAGTGATTGACATTTTCACTAATTTAGGTTACTCACTAGATTAATTTTTTTTTCACTTTTTGTTTAGATTTTAGTGACTTTTATTTTCTCTGGCTGTAAAAGGACCTCAGCTTATATCTAACCAAACAACACAAACTAGATACTCCTTTTTAACTTATGGCCTTCCCTCCACTCAAATATCTGGGTTTGAACTTTAGAATTTGCTTTCTGGCATAATGTTCTAACATTACATGGTGCAATGGCTAAGTTATCACCATTTTATATTTTTAATTTCATGCATGTGCATTGTATGTTTTTGATTTTGTCAATTGCACAGGATTGTAGTGTCAGTTGGGCACCTTCTGTGAGAAAAAGAGCACCATGAAGCAATTCATTCTGCCAGAAATATGGAAACGATATGCTGTACTGCTTGGCATTCATGCCTAAGCTCCAATACAAACATTTCAGAATGTTTGAGTGTGTCAATCTGAGGACAGTGCAGAGGATTTGGAAAGAGTTGAATGAGTCTTATAGTGATTACGAGGGTATGGCAGCTCGGAAAACTCATTCTGATTGTTCTGATAAGAAAAGAAGTCCCAAATTTATTGGTAAGGTCCTCAGACTCAACAAAAAGGTCTACATCAAGTGCCTTGAGGAGGTAGTACTGCCCTGAGTCAAGAGAGTGTTTGCTGGAAGACCCTATATCTGGAAATAGGACTCTGTACCATGTCACACAAGCAGGAAAACCCAGTCATGGCGGCCAGATAATTTCTGTGACCACATCACCCTTTACATTTGGCCACCTAACTCTCCAGACATCAACCCACTTGATTATTATGTGTGGGGTGCAGTTGAATGATAGACCACCAAGAATCCTTGTAATACCAAAGATCAACTGAAGGCAAGGATTATGACAGCATTCATCAACTTGAATAAGGAGACTTCCCAGAAGAGTTGCAGGAGATTCCAAAGTCATCATGAGGTCAAGGTTGAAGCCAATGGCAATTTTATTGAATAAATTTACTCTTTAGTCTTTCAAGATATTTTTGTATAATTTTGTTAAATATATCTGTTAAAATGTAATGTCAGTGTTATTTTCATTTTTGTGTAATTTAGATGACAATTTATCCATCGCACCTTGTATGTAGGACTTGAAAAAAAAAATAAAAAAGTCACTTCATTTGGAATGTTTATTAGTATGATTCAGAGATTATACTCATTAAAACTGCATATCTTTCTATCACTATACCTAGCTATCTTATAGTATTAGTTGAAGCAAAACTTCTTTCAATTTAAACCAAAAAGAATTCATCCAACACAGAATATTGAAAAAAAAAAATGAAAAATACAACCCTCTGACCCTTTCCACTATCTAGAGCAAAGACATTTCCAACCAATGAGATATTTGGATGGGATTTTTTGATAAGCCTTGTTTCTGTGCCTGATTATGGTAACATTGGATCAGAGTAATAAAAATGGCTTAAAAAGCATTGAAACTTTATACAATTTTGAAAAGTAGTTAACTGAGATGACTGGCACAATATAAGGGAAGCCATTAGTCAGTTTAATCAATATTCATCTTGATTCTGTGCATAAATAAACAGTCAAGGAGAGATGAGGTCAGCAGAGCAATTAACCATGGCAGTTAGTTGAGAAATAGGAGGATGCTGGATCCTGAAATACCACATGATCTGCAAAGAACACTACATGCAACAACTTAAAAACTGACAATACTGAACATGTTTATTGGAAACAAACATGTAAGTGGACCAAGTTTCCCTCAATAATATGAAGACAATTCACTCTCTTCAATTATAATTCTACAAGGCTGTACCAACTTCTGAAAGTTTTCACAAACATCAATGGTCCAGCAACTCTTTCCATTCAACACACATTCACACAACTGTGTTAACCTCATGAACAGCTCAACAAAATTTGACAATTCATGAACTTCACTGAAACTTTATACTCTCTACCAAGGACTTCTTATAACTTCTGTAAATCCTACACTGATTTTACTTTTCACATGAAATATCATTATAAATAAGCAATTTCTTTCTGTTCAGTTTCACAATGAGTAAGAGTCTTTTTTTTATGATTGATCAATTTGTTTTCTACAGTTTATCAAGTTATTTAAAACCAGAAAATATTTTCAGATAGTTAGAATTTTTTGATGGGAGATAATAATGGTTTAGTGATATGTCTTAATAATTAACCCATAGCTAGAGGGAGAAAAGGTGGATTCATACCTTTTTCAAGGATATTTCTGTATAAGTGAATATAACGAACTCTACTGGAATTGGAACTCAGCTCTCTAATTAATAATTCTGAGCCATTATTGATTACACCACCAACACATCCAAGCTTACAGCACCTAGTATTCTCAAGTGGTCACCCATCTAGGTACTGACCAGGGTCAATGTTGCTTAACTTTGGTGATCGTATGGGAATCTGTGTTTTAATGTGATGTGACCATAAGCTGCAGTCTTTGTTTTTAAATTGTGTGCTAATTGATAATTTTTTTTTAAATTGAGGTGCTAATTGATAATTTTTCTTGTGTATAGATTAACCAGCTTAAGACTTTTCTGCTCAATTTTAATATTTTCTGGTTCCAAAGTTATCATTTCCCTTGAAAATATTTTGGCCATTTTAAAATACCTTCATACCATACACAGAAATTGAAAAGATAGAATTTTTTTTATTATGGAATGATTATTATACAGTAATAATGGGCCAGACAGTTTGTCTTATTAGGTTGGATAGGTATCATAACAATAGCAAAGGATTTCATGAATTGTAGTTAATAAAATATTGTTATAAACTAAATTAATCTGATGACAATGATATTTTTTTCAGATTGAGTCTTGGGATAGTAGATAAAATTGTTGCACCTCCAAAAACCAAAAAGATATTTTTCTGCATACAGATGAATGCAGCTAGGATTAAACTATTAGTTAACTTAGATATTTAGACTCTGTAACCTAATAAATGTGTGGGTGTAGTTTCAGTAAATTGTGTGCAAGTTGAGCCTATCTTTACCAATATAAGCAGTGGTGTATCAGCATTTAAATAATGATATAGCAACAGAAGAGATTCAACCACACATTGACAGACCAGGAATGGCAACATCTGCACTACACATTGGCGCCATAAAATTCCACTCACTATTCCTGATAAAATGAATTTAACACAAGAACTAATGCTCTGCTGATTGATAATTGGATTTATCTGTAAGTATGAGCTTCACATACTAAAACCAAATATGCCTCCGAAAAGTTTACATGTGTAATTTATGACCGGTGATTGCCATTCCCACAACAAAAACTAATTGCTCTGGCAGAAACTCACCCTTTTTCTTATCTACAATGCCAGTGTTCTGCCAAATAAATACTTGTTATTGTTTGTTCTATAAATCAATGTTTGTGTTTATTCATGTTTCGATAGTTAGAGGTGTTGCTACTTTATAGCCGATGAAACAAATGGGAGCTATCACACCCTCTACAAAATCAATTGAAAAAAAAAGAGAATTATACTTAAAAATAGTTAGGCAATTTTTATAAACAAACTTACATTAAGCTTTAACATTGTTGTGTCAGTGAATAAACATATTTGTTGGTTGTTAATGTTATGGCTGTTGTTTTTGTTGATTGCAAAAGAAAGCTCTACGAAATCTCACACAAAATCATTTGCAATAGTCAAATTTTCTTTCTGTATTTCATGTATTTTGCAAGATATTTTGCAGTAAAATGGGGGAAAAATGGAATTTTTATTCTGTTTTGTCAAGTGGAAAGTATTTTAACATAAACACATATGTAAGTTTGATTTACTTGTGGATTTGTGACAAGCTATCAAAATTTGCTGATGGGTCATCTAACAAAATGGAAACTTGGAATGTTTTTTTTTTAAATCTCTCAATCCAACTCTCTTCCTAAAGAGAAGATGATAATCTGTGCATCTTTGCATAAAATATTCTCAACTAAATCCAAGAAAACCCGGAAGGGATAACAATAGAAAGTCTGTGTTGTCCTCTTCTTGGTTTGTTGAGTGCCATTGGTTTTTCATGAAGGACAGACCAATTATCCTTGACAAAAGCAAAATGACAAATACACAATGCTTCAATTTGATTAGTGCACAAGCCAACTCACAAATATTCATGAATTCTGGTTCAGTCATATATTCAAAACTGAGAGATAACAACCAGAAAATTATTGTTTAAAATTAGTTGGGATTTTTTTGAAGATCAGTTACTGTTATTTGCACTATTTACATGCAGACTATTATCCTCATCTTTATTGTTATTATCTCAATGTTTCGACAGTTGTACCATCTGGCCTTCATCACGTGTATATCAATTTGGGTAACCTACAGGGAATTAATCTGGGAGAGGGGGTGAAATGTTCTTGTTCATATTGTCTAGTTCTTATTTTTATTATTGCTCAGTTATGGTTTGCCCTGTTTCCACTAAGTCCAAGTACATACAGCCTGGCCCAGGGATTGAACTCATGATTACTATGTCATCAGATTCACAAACCAACACTTTAATCCACTAGACTATTGTCTCGTGGAAAACTTGAAGCCTTAAACCTAACCTGCCTGCTGATAAGTGGTGCTGCTGCTTGTCATGCATGACTGTCCTCACTGAAGTTTTCTCTTTTTGTCACAGCTGCTGGAGAGCACAATGACTGAAATATTGTTATAGCAGCAACAAAGATTAGGACAATAGAAAAAAATAGACAAATATTTGGCTTAATACAATCATTCCTAACAAATCATGTGACTAAGGTTGTATTGAAATAGAACACTTCCAGATCATGTCATACTAATGTGAGGGTCCCCCAGGGCTCTATCCTTGGACGTATACTGTTTCTGATCTTTATCAATGAACTCTTCAATGTCATCAGTTCCCAAATAGGTATTTATGCAGATGACAACTATTTACTCCTGTTTTAGTAAATCTTTTGAAAAGGACCTCCAATCAGTGGTTAACTGGGGCAAGAAATAGCTTGAAAATTTTAATGTTTCCAAAACAAAACTACTTCCATTTAATCACTAGGAGAGCAACACTATGCATTCTTGAGCTCATGTTTTCCACTGACATGAAGTGAAGCAACTATAATGAATCAGTTACCACATCTACTGCTAGGAAAGTTGGTTCATTGTTTTGTACCAGAAAATTTTTCATGTCAGTATTCATCTTGCATATTTATAAATCTACCAATCATCCATGCATGATACTATATCAGGTCTGGTGCTCCTGCTGTATATCTCGAGATTTTTGACAAAATTCAGAGAAAAGTTTGTGATGTAATCAATCTGGACCTGACATGACTTCTCTCTGCTTTTTCTAAAAATATTTTAATGGAAACTGTTTTGATAATTTTTTTTTTATTAGTGCCTCAACTACAAGAATTTAAGTGTGCTACTGTTTAATCAGAATGAGTTTTCTGAGCTGTTTTTTTAATCCTATCTAAGCTTTCGGCTTACATAAGCCATTATCAAAGATGACAATGACATTACAATATATTAACCAATACACGGACAAAACAATAATGATAGTCTGCTTTTGTTTGCATGGAAGATTTCCAAGCAACGACAAACTCATATATACAAGACGCTGGAAGCGAAAATTGCACCGCAACTCATGACATCACATATAACCATGCGAGAGTGAAAATGAGAAGTATTAAGTATGAGAAGCTGTTGGTATAAACCAATGGCTTCTGTTATCAATTATAGGCATTTAAGAATATTTGTGGAGATTTCATAGTTTATTTTGTTCAGGTTAGGTTTCAACTGTTTTATGTATATAGCTTCAAGAATTTTTAGTTTTTGTTTATTGTTTTCATGTTTAAGTATAGTTGCGTTTTCAATGAGGATTTATTTATGTTGGACACACCACAAACTTGCTTTCACGACACTTGACTCTATATTTGAATGATAACTCTAACATTTTTAGGCATTTAAAACAACATGCCTGGTTGCATACACAATTCCCAAAAATCCAAGAATTTTTTAGTTTTTTTTTATTGTTTTCATGTTTAAGTATAGTTGTGTTTTCAACCGTGATAATATTGTTTACATTAGGACTGCAGGGATACAGAAAGTGATCATCTCCCTTTTTACAGGATGAATTTACTAATGTTCTTGAGGGTCACATGTCCAAAGCCCAGACTGAGAATAAACAGTTGCTGATGATCTCCCAACAGAGAAAGATATGTTAGTCAGGGAACTCCTCTTCTGCTATAAAAATAATAGACAGAGAAGAATACTGAAGAATTAGATTCTGAAAGAATCAGTGCAAGTGTTAGGCTAAGGTGGCCTTCTCAGTAGGTCTATCATAAATATAAATAGCAAAGAGAAGTGGCAGTGGAAGAAGCCAAGTTTACCAGGAAGGCTGTAGCAGCAGAGGAGGCAATAAGAACATTAGGTTTAAAGTTCCAAGTTCTAGCATCAGGACTGTCCCATGGAATAGTAGCCAAGAGAATTATTTTTTAAAAATGTATTTATTTCCTTTTGTTTTGTACAAGTGTTTCTTTGAAGATCTTGTTTTAATTTTCTCAGTTTTTTTTTTCACTCTCTCTCTCTCTCTCATTGTCTCATTCACTTCATTGATTTTCTCTAGATGTTTGGGTTAGACACTTCTCTGGAAGCTGTAACAAGACAAAAGATTTCCTTTTTGGGTGTTCATTTACTGACTGACAGAATACATAACAGTCTCAATGTGACTTGCTAGCATGGTTATGATACCATGAATAGTTTCTGAGGTTATCAAACATCCCACTGCATTATGAGGAAATGCTTTAGTTGAACTAATGTGAGTGCAATCATCAACTAATCAGGATCAAAGTCAAAAGACATAAAAACAAGTTTCATTCAGAAAATCCAATCAGTAGAAACTTATCTTTCAAATTAATCTACAAAGTAATTCAAGTTGAGATAAAATTATTTTTTAGGTGCAGAAGTCAGCAAAAATGAATTATTTCAATTTCTGTAACTATAGAAAGCTAGAGTTAAAGCACGTTTTTTAACATCAGCAAATTCCAAATGGTCAGTCAACTGACATTTTTCTCCCTAATATATAAAATTTCTTACTAATATCTCTCAGAAGTTTGACTTCATGGAAGACTAATGATATCATTAACAACAGATCAAAAATTGAACCTCAAATGCCAAATTGGGATTTAAAAAAAAAATTATTTTAAAAATTCATGGAGTTAATAAAATACAATTTTTTTTGAGACTGTAAAAATGAAAGGAGATGAATCCAGAAAGTATAGACCTACAGCCCCTATTCTTCAAGTTTGACTACTGTAGCTTCCATAGCAAAAAGAAAGAAACCCTTAATAATTTTGAAATTTTGTAATCAAAATAAAATTTGAAGATGCACTCTAATTGAAGTTTATAAATTATACTTGCTAATCTTGGTCTCAAAAGTTAATAAACACAAAATACTTCCACTGACATTTTTATTTAAC